CAGGCCACAGGAAGGACAACCAACACCAGCCCCTTCCTGTTAGTGCCATTTGTGGGGCCCAGAAGGAAGAACATGAAGTCAGCCATTTCCTGTTCGTCGATGCCATGCATGGGCCGTGGGGAGGACAAGCAGATGCCAGCCCCTCCTAGTGCAGGTTGGGAGACAAAAAAGCAAAGGTCCTCCTTGCATGCCTACTGCCACCCCTCTGAGTGACCAGTAGATCTAGTGAAACAAGCTGAAATAGCTTGAAGTAAAACACAACTTACTGCTCCTAACGTTTAGTGTTTCGCTGACTTTGCAGTCCTAAAGCCTTCAGTCTAATCTCTTTTAAGAGGATAACAATACACAGTATAGCATCTATGGTGATCTCCTTCTGAAAGTGGTAGTCATTGTTAATTCCCTATTATCTTGTTGAAAGACTTGTATTGTTTTCATTGTTTTGTTTGAGTTGATTTCATTCTGTGTTGACTTTGTTGTATCTGATGGCATGGGCATCTATTTCAAAGATAACAAGTATATTATGGTAGCTATTTGAATTTACTATTATCTTGTTTTGAAGTCCTATGTTATATTCATTGTTTTGCTTTTACCGGTTATATTCTGTTCTGTTTTGTTTGATATTCCTTTGTCTGACGGTATGGGCAGCTATTTTGAAGACAACAGGGGGCACTGTGGTAGTCATTGTTGATTTTCTACTATTTTGTTTTGAGACCCTGTATCATTTACATTATTTTGTTTTGATTGGCTTATTTTTTTATGTTACTTGATTTTATTCTCTTTAAAATAAAAAAAAATTAAAAATACAATTCTATTAACTGCTGAACTGAGTATATAATTCTTAATAAGCATTGTTAAAGCCTTGAAGTTGTTCAGCCTATGATCTTACTAACTCCAGAAAGTATCGTTTCTCTACCTATTTCTTTTGTTCTTTAAAGTTTTTAAAATCCAAAGTAAATTAACTTTTGCTCTTCCATGACCCAAAATCAGTTTTTCTCACAGAGGAATATGCATATATAGTATATTTACTCTATATCTATTATATTTACTGTATTTGCATTTATGCAATATTTACAACATTGTTATCACAGTATGTCAGATGTATTCTTAGTCATTAAGGATACAAATTAATTAAATATATTCAAAACAAATACTTCAGGTTTCACATATTGAAGCCTCATTTTAAAATGCAATTTAGCATAATGTTGGCTTCTATGAATACGAAATACAGTACTGGGGGCATTTATTGAACTGTAAATTGTTTCTCACATTCTTTGCTTTAACTCATTAATTGTTTAAATTGTGCAATTAAAGCATATTGATATTTTCAATATGCTAATACATAGTGTGGTTCAAAAACTTCAAATCACATGGGTCAGTTATGTCACTAAAAAAATTAACAAGGAGGGTATGATGATGTATATTTATAGTTTCAGTTCCTAGTTAGGCAGAGATAGAAAGATCTTTTGAGCTCATAAATTTAGGGCCAGCCTGGGACAACAAAGCAAAACCTTAGCTGAAAAAAGTCACAAAATTTAAAACAACAAAAATAATTATGTATAAGATATCTAATAGCACGAAACTTCAGTGTCCAGTATTAGAAAAATAGTTTATAAATTATCAGCATAATTAAATAATTTAGCCATTATTGTACAGCTATAAAAACAGATTAGGGTTTCAGAAATAATTTAAAATAAACAGAATTACCTGAAATTATGTGTATTTAACAACTATGTAGAATACTGATATTGAGAAATGAACTGAATTTATTAAAATAAAAATAATTTATAAATTAGCATTATTCTTGTACCCTAAAGGTAATGTTTAAGTGAGGAACCTGTACAGTTAGGGAATAAATTTTGTTGTTGTTTACCAATATAGAGTATGGGAGTTGGTATTAGTCACTATTCTGTCACTGGGACAAAATACCTAACTTCTATAGTTTTTAGAAGAGGGAATATTTAGCTGATGGTTTCAGAGGGTTCAATCCATGACTGACTAACTCTAAAACAAAATGAATTATGGAAGCACATTTGTGGAGGAAAAATGCTCAGGGAAAATAGGGAGAGAGAAAAGTAAGAGAGAGTGATAGAGAGATACAGAGAGAGAGAGAGAGACAGAAAGAGAATGAGAATAGTACAAAGAGAGAGAAATCTAAAGGCATTTTGGAACTAATTCCTAAACGCACATTCAACTATGAACTCATCAACTGATTCATTCACTGATGAGGTTAATCCATCATGGGATCCCCACTGGATCCAATCATGGGGTCATTTTAGATCTAGACCATAAAAGACTTGTTTAAAATGTAGATGGTGTACAATTAATTGATCACTGAAGAATTAGAAACAACAAACTAAAACCCAAATTTTATTCAGTAGTCATTCAGTTATATGTTTTCCATAATTGTATATTTTATAAGCTTTGAAAATACTATACTGCTAACCTTAAGAGTTAACAATTATGAAGCAAATTAAGTACACTGGTAATATTACTTATGAAACTGAACATTTAAGTGAAAATTAGCTATAAGACTGTACATATGAAAAGGATGTTCATAAACTGTAATGAATTCATACACTTAAATCAACTTCTAATTGTGTGATTCACTTTAAGTTGCAAGTTACCAATAAATTACTACTTAATACATTATTATACTATAATATAAGAATATTAGTGAGGTTTCCAACAGGGGTAAATTTATTCGTGGTACTTTATTAAGAGTAAATGTGTCTCAATTTAAATAGTGAATTAATTCTGAATAATTTTTCATATTTACCGTGTCATTCATTACTTCTCTAGCTCATAAGATAAATTTCCATTTCTTAGCTATATCTGTATATGTAATTTAAAAAAAATATCTTAGTTCAACCAGGAATTCCTGATTTTTTGGTAAGAAATTTAATTGCCTGTTTTCCCAGGATTTTGTGAGGCTGATGAAGGAGGCTTGCAAATTCAAACCAGTCTGAGCATTTTGGTGACTTAGCAAAAATCTGTTAAAATAGAACACATTAAAAATGGCCTAGAGATGCAGCTCAGTGCATTCTCAGTTCTGAGAGAGAGAGAGAGAGAGAGAGAGAGAGAGAGAGAGAGAGACAGAGACAGAGACAGACAGAGACAGAGACAGAAAGAAAATAAAGGAGAGAAGGAAGGAAGAAGGAAAGGAAAAGCAGGGAAAGAGAAAAGGAAAAATAAAAGCATCACAGTCAATTTTTAAAATTCTATTTTTACCTATGATTTCACATTTCATAAATTTCTGACAATAAATAAGAAATACCATGAGTTCTGGATGTTACTTTTCATTCATTTTTATTTACCATTATTGACCTGAAATCTTTTTTTACAGGGAGAAAATCCCACTTCTTAATAAAACTAACATGTTTTCTTTATACCTCAATACAACAACTTTAGAATTAGAGTATCAGTACTATATTACAACAATATCACAACTAAAACAGTTTAATAATATTGTGTGTTTTTCTTTTTTAATCTTTATATCTTTTTAGGATGGAAGGTAAACTACTGTTTTAAAATTCCTGTAATGCTCTTGCAAGTATGTTTCCAATTCAATGCACAGGATACTTTGTATGTCTTTTTAACTTTACAGAATTAATTTAAGTGTTAGCTTCATTTTCTAATTGTTCAAATATTTATAGGATTCCAAAGCTAATCTGAAAAGTATGATGCATTTAGATGCCCAATTCACATTCTCTTCATTCTATTGCCTCTCCTACCAAGAATGTTATTGCAATCAGCATTTTTTATTTTCAGAATTGTTCTTGCATTATTACAGTTAGTCTCAGATTTTTTCTTGCATTATTTTATAAATATATTTCTCCTTTTTTACTGGAATACACATCCTGAAATAACTCCATTGTAGTAATTATAGATTCCTTTCCACGATTTCGTAATACAACATTGATTTTAGCATATTATTTTAACCATCCCTTTATTGATGGATATTTAAGTTATTCCTATATTCAATGATAAATCTCAATAAATTGTCTTGTAACTATGTCAGTTTGTAGTGAATCTATGAGTTAAAGTTCTAAAAGCCAAAGAATAGATAGTCAATTTCGTTAAATTGTTGTTTACTTCCATAAAATTGTGCCAGTTTGTGTCACAACCAACAAAGCATTAAAGTGCTTTCTCACAGAATCCTAGACAACAAAGAGCATTATCAAAATTTTAAAATTTTTGTGACTAATACAGCGTACTTTAGATTTCTTGTTTAATATATGAATTTGAATTTCTTCATCAAACACTAGTGATTAGAAAAGAACATTTAAGGTCTGTGTCTCACTATTTCCTTTAACATTATGGCTTTCAGGTACATCCATAAAATGAAATATGTTTTGTGAAAGATACAAAGAAAATTAAACATTAGAAGCTTAACTCAAGGTTATTATAGGCTTGCTTTGACTTTCTTAAAACGTGTAATAAAAGAAAGATGAACATGATTCTGAAAATAGACTTCTTAAATATTCCATTTTATTTGATTATCACACATGAAATGAAATAAACAATCTTAGTAATGATAAACAATAATTTACTGTAGATAAATTTATATAGTATACACTTATAAATCACTAAGATATCTTTAAGAGAAATTAATTATATATACACATATATGTATATTCTGTAATTCCCTATGGTACATGAAGATTTAGTAAAATATTGGAATTAAGTATGTTAAACTTCATGATCAAGATCAAAGCCCCTTTAAAGAATAAGATTTTCTTCTAATAAGACCAAAGATGGTGATTTCTGGCTTATATTCTTAGAATATTTGAGTTGTTCTTATGTTTATTAACAGTGCATCTAAATGTATTTTAATACCTTATTTTGATCAAATAGAGTAGGTATTAAAGTTATTTCATTAATATGGCAACAGTCATCCTTTTCAATGAGAATTATGTTTTTCTTGAAATAGAAATATTAAAGAAAAGGTTATAGAAAATGATTCATAACAATTAATTCTTAGTTATTTTCTTTCCTTTCAGCACCTTCTCTAATAGGTGTGGTAAGGAAGGACTGGGCATCCCAAAATAGCATTGCCCTGTCCTGGCAAGCACCCGCTTTTTCCAACGGAGCCATTCTGGACTACGAGATCAAGTACTATGAGAAAGTAGGTCTTACTTAGACTCTCCTAAAAAAAATTATATATATATATATGAATATATATGGATATATGTATATATTAAGCATGTTTTATACTATCCTATTTTACCATAAAATCGACTTTTGTGTGCCTTAATATTTACTGTTTGAATACTATGTTTTATTTTTCTTTTAGTAAGGTAGAAAATGCCAAATGTTCATCTCTATCACATCCTGCTCTGAGAAATTTTACAGTACAATACTTTAATAAGTAGAAACTCCTTCACCTTACAGTTTAATTGCTTTCACATTATTTATAAAATTCAGTTGACAAGAAATTGTAAACTTGAATTACAACAACCTAAAAGCAAAAATATCCTTTGTCACTGAGTTTAAACATATATTCCACTAAATTAGAAAGTCTGTGTTAAGGAATAATAGAAAATAACTACTGAAGTCAAAATCTTTTTACATTCAGTTTTTCAATTTTATTTTACAAGAAGCGAACAAGCCAGCTTTGCATGATAAATCAATTAATAATTATATTTTCCATTTTGCAACTTAAAATTGCTCTCAATTATTTTATTTTTCCATATTGTCTGCTTCTTTAGTTGTAATGTCTTTATCTTCTTTGTTTATACTTTTCCTTCCATACTCTGCATAGTTAAACCATTCTTGGTATAGATATTACAGCAGACCACATAGGCAGTGTGTGTTTGGTATTGCCTGACAGATTCGTTAGATATTGCACCAGTATTACTTCTAGACTATTGACAAAAAGAACATTAAAGAAAAAAAATAATGTAAAGATTACATGCATAGTGTGCCAAAAAAATGTATATAGACTTCAGCAGTTCTCCATACTAATAAATATCTGGAAACTAAGGCCACCACCCTCTTGTAATTGTGGAGGCCAAAAGTATCTTGTAAAAATGACTCAATAAATTTACTATTATACAAGGTTTTTTTCCTGATGTGTACATTTTTGGCAGACTCTTTTTATGGGATTTATTACTATAAGAATGTCTTTCCATTCTACAAGTTACATGAAGCAAAGAAAAATAAGGAAGTTCAAATTTTCTCTCTGAAGTTTTGAAATTTGAGTCTACTAATATAAACTGACAATAGGCACTTTGGCAGGAGAAAAGGTATACTCATTATTATAATAAAGGTATACTTATTAACACGTATGTATATGTAGTAGCCACACGAGGTATGAAACTCAAGGGAAGGTCAGATAGTTGAGACACAAATGCTCTCTTTGTTAGGGGAGAGAGAATGTGGGACATGTGGACAATCTCAGAGAGTTACTAAATAAATTTTAGAAGAAACTATTGAATTGGAAGATCAGACAACAGCCTGAAATAAGGGCTTCTGGATTCTGCATCTGCTGTTTGACTTTCAGTCTCTTTCCCTGTGATGTGTATTTAATATTCCTTGGTTTATGAAATTTCAGTTGAAAGATGGATGGTAATTAGTTTTCTTCTGGCAGATCTGGTCTTTAGGTAGATAAGAAATTTTCATGAGAAGCCCTTCCTGCATCACTGCTTTTCAGGTGCTCTCAGTTTGAAGTCAAAAGAATATTTTTGGGTACTTTATTCTAAGCCCTAACATGAACATCACTAATAAATGTAGTTTTTCTAAAGAAATATAGGGGAAGTTGAGAAATAGAAACTTCCCTTTATTGTGCCATTTTGTGAGCAAATGTAGCTCAGCTAAAGGCAGAGGAAACTCATTAGCATGACCGTATTCATTTTTGGCACTGTTGTAACTTCGGCATCATGTAGCCAATAAAAGCTGACATTATCATTAACAGATGTGGATAAATCCATAGCTTAAGAAAAGAATTTACTGAGTTTGAATTAGGTTACACATTTTGCACATTAGCCAGTCAGTATGGGGCTCAAAATCTAGCAGGGCTAGCCTTCTAAGTTTTACAGCTGGTATGTACTATGCTGCCATAGGAAAATATGTATTTTCTGCCCACTAACTTAAATAGATCTTCATATTTTAAAAATGTATGGTTACTTAAAAAGCAATGCCACAATGAGACAAGAAGCTTTTCAGAATGAAATTATTCCTATTTTATAAAATCATTGTGTCATATTTCATGTGAAGAAAAATTACTGATTCATTTTACAGTTACTTATACCTCATATGTCTGAGAATGAAAATAACTTGCAATATTTCCCAGTAAAAATAGCTTTTAGAGTTTCAATAAAAAGAGAACCACTTCATCTAATTAAAAGGTAGGAAATCAATGCAATTCTATAGTATAGTAATTAACATTACATCCATCTTCACACATCAATATGTAGCATTTGGATTTATTATGTAAGTTGTATTTTAATGCTGAAATAGATAATATTGCAAAGGGATTGTTTTGTAAAAAAATGGCAATGGTCCACTGATAACAGATTAGACATCTTGTTGCATGCCAAAGATTCCTAATTCATGTTCTCACTGTGACTCTCGTTATACTCTTGGCCAGGACAAAGTCAATAAATATCCTTGTCTCAGACATCACATTTATAAAACAGAAACAAAGCTATCAACTCTTTTGTTGGATTTTAAATATTAATTATAAGTAGATCCCAGAATGTAAAACACCAAATCAATATTTTAAAGAATCATTTGAACAACAGGAAAATATTTACCATATAATATAGAATCAGAAAGCAATATAAGGATATGCACAACCAAATAAAAAATAATTTTCTTTTCATATATACATAAATGTGTAGACAACTAGTCAAAGATACCTCAATACCAAATGAAAATGCAGATACAACTTACCAGAATTTGTGGGATGCAATGAAAGCCATCCTCAGAGGAAAATTTATTGCACTGAGTTCCCACATCAGGAAAACAGAATGAATACAAATAAATAACATGATGCTACACCTCAAACAGCTAGAAAAAGAAGAGCAAGTCAAGCCCAAAGCCAAAAGAAGAGAGAAAATTATAAAAATCAGAGCAAAATCAGTGCAATAGAAACAATCCAAAGAATCAACGAATCAAAGAGTTGGTTCTTTGAAAGAATAAATAAAATCGATAAGCCCCTAGCCAACCTTATTTTTAAAAAGGAAGAAAAAGCTCAAATTCATGCAATAAGAAATGAAAAGGGTGAAATCACTACAGACCCAATAGAAATACAGAAGATCATCAACACCTATTTCGAAAATCTCTACTCTCAAAAGTTTGATAACACAGAAGAAATAGACAGATTCTTAGAAACATATGAAGTGCCAAAGCTAGATCAAGAGGATGTAAAACTGTTGAATAACCCAATCTCTGTTAATGAAATTGAAAATGTAATTAAGTCCTTACCCACCAAGAAGAGCCCAGGCCCAGATGGATTCACTGCAGAATTCTACAAAAAATACAAAGAAGACCTAATGCTGACACTCCTCAAACTATTCAAGGAAATTGAAAGGGAAGCAATCCTTCCTAAGTTATTCCTGGAAGCAAATATTACTCTAGTACCAAAACCTAAGAAAGACTCAACTAAAAAAGAGAACTATAGACCGATCTCCCTAATGAACACAGATGCAAACATCCTCAATAAAATATTGGCAAAAGGATGCAGCAAATCATCAAGAAGATTATACACCATGACCAAGTGGGATTCATCCCAGGAATGCAAGGATGGTTCAACATACGTAAATCAATAAATGTAATCCACCATATCAATAAAGCCAAAAATAAGAATCACATGATCATTTCTATAGATGCAGAAAAAGCTTTTGATAAGGTCCAACATTTATACATGATAAGATCTTTACAGAAAATTGGAATAGATGGTCTTTACCTCAATATAATAAAGGCCATTTATGACAAACCAACAGCCAGCATCATACTAAATGGCCAAACATTGAAAGCCTTTACTTTAAAATCAGGCACAAGACAAGGATGTCCTTTATCACCACTCCTATTTAATATGGTACTGGAAGTACTAGCCAGAGCAATTAGGCAAGAGAGAGAAATAAAAGGGGTAAAGAAGGAAAAGAAGATTTTGTAATCGCCAGATCTTGGAAACAACCCAAGTGTCCATCAACTGAGGAATGGATAAAAAAGTTGTGGTATTTCTATACAATGGAGTATTATTCAGCTATAAAGAAGGATCACATTGAGATATTCATCAATAAATGGGCGCATCTTGAGACCATACTCATAAGTGAAATAAACCAATCTCGCATGTGTGAATACCGAATAGTTTCCCTAATGTAAGTAATGATTCAAATATATAAAAATATGTGGTAATCATGATTCCCCATTATGTGGCCTTGAAGCCTTATAAAGTTTTCACTTATTAATTGGAAAGGCTTTATTCTGGGCTTCTTGATATGGAAATATTTGAAGCTACAGTATATGAAGTTACATTCAAATATTTCAAGCAAAAAGACAGACACTATGGTAACTACTATTAAGTCAGGTTATTTGGTGGTGAAGCACTAGGTTGCTGAAACAGTCATGCTTTGACCTGTATTGTTATATTGTTATGTCCTGTTTTATCTCAATCTCTCCATTACTCTTTAAAAAATTATTTAGTTATTTCTTATGTTTGTTTTAATTAAGGGGAAAAATTAAAAAATTAGCAGGATATATAATAGTAACTTTTTTTGATTTCCTATTAACTTGTTTTGAAGTCCTGTAATACTCCCACGATCTTGTTTTGACTGATTAGACTCTGTTCCATTCTGTATGATAGTATCAAGTTTGAGGGTATAGGCAACTACTTTGAAGGCAATAAGATTCACTAAGATGCCCATTCTGGTTTGACTATTGTCTCCTTTGGAAGTCCTGTAATGTTTAAAATGCTTAAGTCTTATTGGTCTTGTTCTCTACTGTTTCATTCAGCTTTATAATACCTAATGAGATAGACAATTCTTTTTAAGGAAACAAGAGACATTGTTGATAACCTTGTACTCTGTTTTACATCAGGTGCTATGTCTATCCTTGGTTTTGACTGACAGCTCTGTTTTGCCATATTTGACTTTATTCTCCCCCCCCCCAAAAAGTAATAAG